GGGAAACTCCACAGGCTCGGCCAATGCTGGTCATGCGGTTCAGAGGACAGTTCCCAATGCCCCGGGGACCAGGGCGAGGACAGCACTCTCTGTCCCAGCCTGCATGCCAGCTGGTCCAGTGTGACCGAGAGCGTGACGGACACGGAGGGAAGGGTGTCCTGGCCAGCCTGTCCTGCCTGCCATCCACACACTGTGGTCCTCAGACAGGTTACCCAGCCGCTCCGAGCCTCAGTTTCCCCTCTGAGAAAATGGGGAGGCTCAGAGGTGAGTCCTTCAGACCCCTCTGGGGGCCTGTGGGGCACCCCCTGCACTGATCACCTGTCCAAACCCCACCTGCTCAGCCACCACCACGGGTGCAGCCCCCTCCCCGCTCTGGGGGCCAGCCTGGCCGGGGGTGTCCGCAGGAGGCCCCTTCTGGGGGCTGGAGCCCCGTCTGGGGCTGCGTTTGTGGAACTCTCTCCCTCCCCTGCCTCTCCCTGCCTCTCCTGACCCCTTCAGGGCTCCGTCCACCTCTTGGCTTCTCTAGCCATTGCCTTCTCTCCGTGTCTCTCCCCCTCCCTGTCCCCCACTCTGCCCCTGCGCTCCGGCACCCCACCCTACACGGATGTCTTAGAACTGTCATGAGGCCATTGCAGGAACTGGCAGCTCCCCAGGGTCTTGGTGGGAGTATTGGAGCCAGCAGGGCCAGTCTGAGTGGACGAGAAACATGTGGCACTGGCCAGGGGACACTTCGGGAACCTGGGCCAGGAGCTGGGCACAGCACTGCCCGCCCATGTGTCCGAGGCAGGGACAGGGGCCAGCAGCTCCCTGGCTGTGCTGGGCCAGAGCCCGCCCCGAGGGGCTTCTAGGTGGGAGCAGAACTGTCCACAGGCTCCTTCAGGGGAACATTGGAATCTCCCCACATGGCTCAGCCCCGGCTGTCCCGCTCACGGTGTGGCCTCAACTCACGCCCAGGACACCAGTTCCCTCTATAGGTCATTGTCCCCGGTCTCCGGGGAGGGGTCCTTCTCAACAGGAGTCTGGGGACAGCAGTCACGGTGCCAAGAGCCCTCGCCCTGCTGAGGCTGAAAGGGCCCCCCTCCGCTCCCACCATCTCCATTCCGGACCCAGACCGGGAGAGCAGATGTGATTTAAAATATTTAGTGGCCCTGTTCAAAAATTAAAAACAGAGCAGGTGGGGTCAATTTTAATAATACACTTTATCTCACCCCGTAGACTCTAAACATCGTGTTAACACGCAATCAGTATGCAAACTACCAATGAGACATTTGACCTGGCTTCTGCCCTGAGCCCGGTCAGTCTCGCTGTCCACACTCACCTGGTGGTCCGGCAGCCTCCGGAGCCGGAGGCCGGTGGGCTGGGTCGAGAAGCTCCGAGCTGCCGCTGGTCTGCCTTCTTCCGGGCGTGAATCGAGGTCCGAAACTTCTCAAGGGCATGACCCCCGTCTCCCTCTGCCGGATGCGTTCTGTGCAGCCTCCAACAGCGCCACCCAGTAGGTGCCCTGCAGACATTTGGGAACGAAGGGATGGAAATGGGCCTCGTTCCTCTCCCCTTTCCCATGTTGAGGGGTCGTGGGCCCAGGTCCAGAGCAGCACGGAGTGGGGACCTAACCCACACCTGGTGTTCTGTGCTCCTTCCAGTCCCCCTGGACTCTGGCCTGCTGCTGGGAGAGGGGCCTGGCCCCTGAGGCTCTGGCACCCCCATCTCAGGCTGGGTCCAGGAGCCCTGGCCCTTCTCCCTTCTGATTGGGCTCCCAGCTCTTCCTTCCTCAGGTCCGGCTGCTGTGGCATCTGTGAGTAAAGCAGGCGCAGCTTGCCTCCGGAGGCTGCAGGAGCCCAGCCCCTATCTGGAGAAGTCATCACTGCCCCCCCACACCAGCTGTCCTCTGGCCCCCAGCTCTGCCCAGCCAGAGAGGCCTCCCCCTACCCCATGTCTGGCCCCTGGCCTTGGGCCCAGACCGCGGTGCTGACCAGCCTGTCAGGCTAGTTGAGCTTCCTCAGAGATGGCTGCCATCACAGGTCACTCACTCACTCATGGTGGGAGACCAGGCAGGGCTGCCAGGGAGCCCTGCTCCTCAGCCCCAGCCCCCAGAGCAGCACCCAAGGGCTTTGGAGCTTCTTGGGCACCCTTTGGGCTGGGCCACCTCGTGACCCTGCCAGGCCTGCTTACCAGGGAAACTCGAGTCTGCCCAACACTGCCTGGGTCTCTCCATGGGCACTGTGTGCAGGAAGCCCTCACCCTGTGAATGGCAGAGGTCGGAGCCGAGTCCTCAGCTGCTGCCCTTGGGGGCGGGGCTAGGGAGGTTCTGCCCCGCCCACAGTTCTTGACCACCTGGGAGGCGCTTCAGCTGCCGCATCTGTGAACCTGGGGGGCGCACATGTGTGTGCCTGTGCGTGCGCTACAGCACGGGGGTGTAGCACCCTGCTCCGAGGATCGTGGGAAACCAAGCGTTGAGGCCAGGCCTGGCGCAGGCCTCACGGCCAAGGTCCTACCGGGGGCCTCAGCCGGGCAGCAGAAGCCAGAGCTCGGGCCCCTGCAGCTGCCCACGCTGTCTCCCCGCCAGCCCTCTCCACCTGCACCTCACTTCCCCCGCCGGTGGAATGGTGGCCTGGTGCTTTCAAACCACCCTCACCCTTTGGTCTGACCCGCAGGGCAGGAGCCAGCAGCAGGGCAAAGAGTGAGCCACTCCGTGCCAAGGCCACCGGGTGCCCAGCTAGGGGACAGCTGGCCCGAGGCGGTGTCCCGGGCCTGGCTCCGCCCTGCGCAGCGGTACCTCTTGGACAAGCCGGCTGAGAAGTTCCGTGCTCTGTGCTCTCGGGGTGGGGGCTCAGGACAGGAGAGAGTGGTGGGAGGGGATTGGGGGTCCCCCAAGGCAGCACTCACGTCCTGACTCTGCCATCCCTCACTGTGGGGTTCCGGGGGCGATTGCTTCTGCCTGAGCCTCAGTTTCCTCGTCATCAGATCAGGGCAATCATTCCTGACCCCAGGAGGCTGTGAAATCGGAGCTGGCCTCCGCAGAGATGAGGCGATCCTCCAGCTTGTCCAGGGACTTGTGCCTGCCACCCCAGGGGCCACAAAGGTGGGACCCCTCTGCCCTCGACCCCCCGGGGCCTTGCCTCCAGCACAGACTGGCCTCCCAGGGGGAGGCCAGCCCCCCTGCTCACGCTTCCTTCTCCCTGCAGTACCCTTCCTTCCCTGCCACCTTCTGACCCCTACTTGCCCTTCAAGGCCCACTTTAGGTGCCTCCTCCTTCAGGAAGCCCACTTTAGGTGCCTCTTCCTCCTCCTCCTCCTCCAGGAAGCCGACCCTGACCACCCCCATCCTAGCCTGGTGCGGGGCTCCACATTTAGCAGGCAGATGGCTGGGTACAAACTCTGGGTTTGCCGCACTCTCGGGATGCCCTCGGGCCAGTGCCCTAACTTCTCTGAGTCCATGCATCCTTCTCTGTGACTCAGGATGGCAGTCTCACCCTGTGGTCAGGAGCAGCGCAGATGACAATGCGTGGAGAGACCTTAGCCGAACGGCTGGAGCAGCGAGCACCAGGGGTGTTGTCAGCACCGCCCCAGGGAAGGGCTGCCCGCCACCTGAGGACAGAGGCCCCAGGCTGAGGGTGGGCTGTGGAGCCCAGGTGGCCACCTGCTGAAGACCCTCACTGGCTCTGGAGGGGGGAACCCTGACGCTCCTGCTCCTCCAGAGCCTCCGAGAGTCCACAGTGCGGGCACATCTGAGGATTGGGGGCAGGGAGGGTGGCGCCTGCAGGCCAGATCTGTGTGCTCCACTGCACTAGCTCTGGCTGGCCAGCAACGCAGGGTGGGGGTCTGCCCACTGCACCCCCCGCCCACCAGGCCAGGCTGGGCCCCACCTGGGCTCCGTGGTGCCGGGGTGTGCCTGCCGGGCCGGGTCGGCCACATGGGGCCTTAGCATCCCCCCACCCCCTCCAATAACGGACCGGGCACTCCCCTGCACTGTCCACGGGGAGAGGCCAGGCTGGCGCTGGGCCACCCTGCCTGGGACCTGGGGGGGAGAACGGGGCTGTGGGGAGCACTCGGGGTGCATAGGCTGAACACCCAGGGGCCCGGGGGTCACATGAGTGCCCACCCTTCTCAAGAAGCAGAGGCTCCTGAGCCACACATGCAGGTACTAACACCGGGACACACATGGGCCCCAGTGTGCACACACACAGCCTCACACTCCACACAAGCTCACACTTACTGCACGCTCACAGCACGCTCACACAGCAGCCCTGGAGCTCCGTGTGCCCTACCCCCACCAGCTCTCCTTCAGGTAGGTTCCCAGGTCAGTGCGGGGGGGGGGGGCCCACAGCTGCCCGAAAGCTTGGGGAGGCCCTGCCCGTCTCCCCTACATGCTCTGCAAGGGCCCCAGCCTGGCCGCCTCCCGAGATCAGACACCAGGAGGGAAGTGGGGGTGGGAAAGCCCCCCCCCCGCCCGCTTCACTTCTGCCTGCTCTGGAATGCGCTGACCAGAGTGCCCAGCCTAATCCCAACTGGGTGCTCACGAGGCCACTGACCCGCTGCTGAGCCAGCCAGAACGGCACCAAGGGAGGCTGGGTGGGGTGCAGTGAGGTGGGATGGGGTGAGGGACCCAGGCTTCAGGCCCCCCGTGGTCAGACAGGCCCCCAGAAGGCCAGGGAAGGGGTGGCAAGTCCGCCTCCCTCCCCACCCCCTCACTGGACCATTTGGGTCCTTGGGGGCAGAGGCTGGGTGGGGCCTGCCTCGGGCGTCCTTCCTACAAGAACCGGGGAGCGGCTGCTTTCCTATTCCTAGGTGTCCGAGGATCTCAGGTGAAGTTTGAGAGCCAGGCAGGCCCTGAGGAAATGGGGGGCAGGAGAGGGGAGCTGGGCAACCCTCTCCCTGGGGCCTGAATGAAGCACCCGCTGAGGCTGGAGAGGCCAGGACAGAGGGAGAGGCGGGGCAGGGAGGGGCGGGGAGCGGGTCAGCTGTGGGGGCAGGGCCCAGCCCCTGCCGGCCTATATCCCAGGCCAGCTCTGCCCATCAGCAGTGGCTGTGGAGATGGCATTGCAGGTGGGTGAGGCCTGGTGTGCGGGGAAGGAAGCAGGGCTAGGACAGGGGACTCCCCAGTCACCTGGCTCCTTCCAGGTATAGCTGCCCTCTCATCAGACCCTGGGCAGAGACCCCTATCTCCTGCACCCATCAGGGAGGGAGCCAGCTGGGGTGGGCCTCCTCACCCCAGGCCCCCTGCCTCCCCCTGCATCTGCCTGCAGTTCGAAGCCTTCTGTGCAGAGGGCCTGGCCCCAGGCTGGAGCCTGCTGGTGCAAGGGCAAACGGACTCTGGAGAGGACAAGTAAGAGCAGCCCCTTCCCCAGGGTCCCTCCTCGGCCCTGCGTGGGGTGGCTACCCAGCTGTCGGCTGCTCTCACAGCCCTAGGGTGCCCCCAGGTTTGAGATCAACTTCCTGTCCGAGACGGGGGACATTGCCTTCCACGTCAAGCCCCGCTTCACCAGCGCCACCATGGTGGGCAACGCCTTCCAGGGCGGCCGCTGGGGCCAGGAGGAGGTGTCCAGCGTCTTCCCGCTGGTGCTGGGGGAGCCCTTTGAGGTGATGGGGAGCCTGGGGGGCTGCGCAGGAGGCTGGGCTCAGGGGCCCCGTGGAAGTGCCCGGGGCCACCTGCGTGGAAGCTGTGTCCCCACCTGGGGCCCACAGGGGGCATTTGCAGGTCAACGGGCCAGCCCCTATCTCAGGATGGGTGGGTGCAACTGGATGGTCCCCTGCCCCCCAAACACCCCCATAGGAGAGAGGACGAGGTGGGCCCAAGGGACAGGGTTCTCTGGGGTGAGGGGACCCTTCGGCCCACCTGGCCATGCTTAGAGGATTCGTGGAGCAGGGCCAGGACCAGGCCGCAGGTGGGTTGGGGTCACTGGCCGCCTGCCCTCCTGCCTGCAGATGGAGGTCAGCTCAGACGCTCAGCACTTCCACGTCCACGCCCAGGAGCGCACAGTGCTGCAGTTCGCCCACCGCCACAGGCCGCTGGCGGCCATCACCCGGGTGCAGGTGCTGAGTGACCAGCGCCTGGCCCAGGTGCAGCTCGTCAGGAGGGGCCTGGGCTGGGGGTGACACTCCTACCCCACCCCTCCCTGCTGCAGGGCCATCAGTGTGCATCCTTACCCTGGGACCCCAGCAGCCTGGAGGGGCTCTCGGCTTTGTCCTCCCCCTGCCCCCTGTATGGGCAGGGGCCGGGGCTGAGCCGAGCGGAGCCGGGTCTGGCAGCTGGCTGGGCTGGGGGTTACTGAGCCACGTCCCAGGAGCGGGCCTCGGCCACCAGCCATCCCCTATGCCCCGGGGCCATGGGGAGTGGTGCATGGCTCTGGGGACCCCTCTCCAGCTCCACATTCAATAAAGTCTGAGCAGAGTGCGGGGCCTGGCTGCTGTGAGGGGGGGAGAGTGGTGTCAGTGGACAGTGGGGGGGGTCCTGGCCCCGCCCAAGGTCCAGCTGGTCCTGGCCAGGGCTGCTGAGCTCACCACCCCCTCCGACACGCTCCCTCAGCGTCCTTCCTGTGGGTGGAGGGAGGGTCTTCCTGTTTCCCCTCCCACCTGGAAAGGAGACGTGCTCCTCTCCTTGTCCCTTGTCCCTTCTGAGTGCAGTGGCTGGAGGGGTGACAGGGAGGCCTGAGGGCCACCTCTGGGGACAGTGAGCAGGGCGGGGGGGTCTCCCAGTCCTGGTTTCAGATTGAGGCTTGTCTGTCACCTATCTACCACCTATCATATCTGAGTCTCCGTCACCTACCTGTCATCTGTTGTAACTGTCTATTACCTGGTACACCTGTCTACCTGTCATCTGCACATCTGCCATTTATCATATCTGTCTCCTACCTGGCCATCTTTTTTTAAAAAGATTTTATTTATTTTCACAGAGCAGGAAAGGGAGGGAGAAAAAGGGAGGGAAACATCAATGTTTGCCTCTTGCACGCCCCCTACTGGGGACCTGGCCCACAACCCAGGCATGAGCCCTGACTGGGAATTGAACCAGCAATCTTTTGGTTGGTAGGCCGGCACTCAGCCCACTGATCTGGCCATCTTAATTAAACTGGTGATGTCACAGCTTAGGGCCAGGCCTGACCGGTACTGGCCTTTTGAAGGAGTTATTTAAAGAAAGGCAGGAGGTCGGCTGTGGTGGGCAGGGCAGTCAGGCCTGGGCTGTGGGGCCTCAGCCCCTCTGCCCGTGTGTGGCTGTGGGCAAGTCCTGCGTTCTGGGGCAGCTGGAGCCCTCTGCTCATCGGCAACAGGGAGGCTCCAGTGAGTTCAGGTAAAGCACTAGGTACAGTTATGTACCAGGTCATGACGACCTTTGTCATGATGTCACCTGCGTGGAACTTCAGGCACACGGGTCTGGCCCAGACCTTGTGCCCTCTAAGGTTTTATAAATGGAGAAACTGAGGCTGAGTGGGGGAGGAAAGCAGCAAGCTGGGGCTCAGAGAGGGAAGGGCCCGTCGAGATCCCTCTGGGCAGAGCCGCAGGATGAAGGGGAGCCCGTGGCGTCCCCACCCCCAGGTGGGACAATGGTGGCCCCAGCCTCCAGCAGGGAAGCTTCCTTCCTGCCTCCGCTCACGTCCTGCCTCATCCCCTTCTTCGGTGGGTCTGGCTGTCTGTCAAGGGAAGGGGCGGGGCAGGCAGGCAGACACTGTGGACCAGGCCCTGGGCCCTGGGGAGGACCAGGGTAGTGGGAGGGGCAACCTACACGGGGACACCAGGCCTGGCTCTGTGGTCAGGCCAGGCTGCGCCTGTCCCTGCCGGGGCGTCCCTGATCGGAGCCCCAGGCCCTGCTCCTGTCCTTGGGCCTCAGTTTCCCTGCCGACAAAAGCCCCTCCTGGAGATGCGCTGCCTCCAGACAAGCAGACGCCATGCTTTCTTGCTTGGGTGGGTGGGCGTCGGGGGCTGAGCCTGGGGACGGCCTGAGGCTCAGATTCTGGGGCGCGGGCTGTCCCTGAATTTTCTGGGCTCCATGCCAGGGCCTGGCCTGTGCTGTCTCCCAAGAACCAAGCAAGCACCCGGCCGGAATAAGCGGCTCTGAGAGGTCGAGGGACTTGTCTCGGCTGTTCGGCCAGCAAGGGAAAGAGTCAGACATGGCAGGTCCGACAGGCTCTGTGTGCACTGTAGCCCTGGCCCTTGGCTGCTGTCCCCCAGCAACCTTGAGTCCACCCTCTGTCCCCTCCAGGGTACAAGCTGCTGTGGGCAAGTCAGACCACAGTGGCCCAGACCCTGCCTCCTTGGGGCTCCATCTTCCCACCTATGAAGTGGGGGGCTGGGAGCTGTGGTGTCAGGGTGCGACCCCCTCCCCAATGCCCACTGCCCTCAGCACACAGCGTGTGCCCATCCAGCTGTCTGTAGCCATGCTCCCGCCCAGCTTTGCAGCCCTGTGGCCAGAACTGCAGACTGGCTCCTCGGCTCAGATGACACCTCCTCTGGGAAGCCTTCCCTGACCTCCAATGGGCTCTTCACCCTCTGCTTCCCTGTGCCCCCACGTCCAGCACACTGCGTCACTGGGGGTCGGGAGTCTGGTCTGCCCCAGCCCTGCCACCCCGCAGCACGTCCGGCTCTGGGAATGTTGGCCGAGTGAATGACTGAGTTCATGCATGAATGACTGGCTCAGGGAAGTCACTTAGAGTCTTAAGCAGGCTAGAGGTGCCCCTCCCAATAGGGGCCACAGGACCATGGAGACTTCTAGTGTAATCCCCCTCCCTGGATACCTGGACCCCCACTCTGAGAGGTGAGAATAAACACAACCCCTCCCACAGCAGCATGGTGGGAGCCCTCGCTCCCCTGCTCACCCCCTTCCTCTCCAGTCCTGGCGCACACTGAGGCACCCCTACCTCAGGACATTTGCACAGCACCTCCCTGCACACCCCAGTGTGCAGCCCGCCCAGCTCATTGTTCAGGCCTCTAACACCCCTGGCTGTGCTTATTCTCCATCACTGTTGCAGTTATGGTTTTGGGTTTACCTGCTCACAGGTGGGCTGGCCACCCTTTCCCACTGGATGGTCAGCTCCAGGACAGGGCCAGCCACCAGTGAGGTCACCACTGGGCTCTGCCGATCTAGCACATCTTAAGCACCAAAGATATCTGTTAAACTAACAAATACATGCAGCCAGACCCTGCTTGAATGCTGCGAGAGGCAGGCAGCTCACCATCTACCACAGTAGCCCATCTTCCTGATGCTCATAGGCAAACTCTGGAGTCGATATCTGTCTTCACCTCCTGCACACCTCCTGCCCCTCCCTGGTGCTGTCACAGAGTCCCTAGGAGGAGCCCAAAACAGCCCTTGACACCCTCTGGAGACCCAAAGGTATCAGCAAGGTGCTGTGCTCCCACTGCAGGGGTTTTGGGAGGTCACTAGGGCAGCCCCTGCTCCCGGCAATTCTCTTGGAGGACTGTCTGCTGTGGGGATAGGTCAAATACCTCTTGGCAAGGAGGGCCAAGTTCACAGCCTTCCAACACGACCAACTGGCCAAAGGTGCCAGACCCTCAAGATGGTCCAGGAGAGAGCTCCAATGCCCATGGGCCCCAGGACCAAATGAGTCAGGTGGGCACAGGGCAATAGGGATGGGTAGGGTCTGTGGCTAACAGGAAGGCACATACCCCATTGTGCTCAGCTATGCACAGGGAAAGGGGGGGGTTCAGATGGGAAGATCTTCTCATTTTAAAAAACATAAGGTTAACTTGCTGTCTGATGCCTCTGTCTTTAATCACTGGCTACCACAGTGGGACCCAAACAAGGTATCCCCAAGGGTGACTAGTCAGAGACCTCTGCTCTAAAACCAACTTTTGCCCTGCTTTGTCCCACCAGAACAGAGGTCATCGGTCACCCCAGGGTGCAGGTGCCTTTCTGGTCCCCCATATTCCTGGCCCTCAAGCCTCCTGGGCCATGAGGAACAGTCCCACCAGCAGGGGGCGCTCCAGACATGGTTTTCCTTGACTTTCACTCCTGGTTTCAGCACCAGGACAGGATGAGGTTTTGTTTCCACTGAATGACACCCTGGGTATGTGTGTGTGTGGAGGGAGAGAATCGGGCATGACCACGCCCCTCCTGCCTTTTCTACTGTGCCGGGCGCTGGGCGAGCTGATGGAGTGGACAAATGCCACGTGGACCAGAGCGAAAGCCCACCTCCTAGAGCCTCCATTTCCAGTTCTGTGAAGCAGCGTGGCTGTGAGGAACACACGGCACCGGACAAGCATGGTGGGGTGAGATCTGCGCGCCCCCCCAACCAAGGCAGCAGGGGCCAGGCCTGAGCTGCTCCCCATGGGGCCCTGTGGACGTCTACAGCCTGCCTGGTTTCTCCACTCCACGCCCAGACCAGGACCCTGTCCTTGGCTTGCCAATTCCTGCTTTGGTTTGAAGACCGGCCACCAGGGCTCTCTCAAGGGCCACTGGAACACAGGGGCTACTGGCAGGGGCTGGCGTCGAGCTTCAAGCATGCCTCAGCCTGACCCCAGAGGGCTGGAGGCCACTGGGGCTACGGTGACACCCCCAGAGAGGTCCCTGCTGCTGGGGGGTGAGGTGAGCTGCATGGTGAACCCACGGCCCCCTCAGACTCCCGAGGGCAGTACCGTCAATGAGGGCAGTGGCCCACAGGTGCTGATGGTGCAGGGCCAGTGGCCCATCCCAGTGCAGGCCAAGCCTGCTGCCTGTTTGGGGGGGTGGAGGCAGGAAGAGGGGAGGAGATGCCTGGCTCTCCACGACCGACCGCCTTGGCAGGAGCTGTGGGGAGGGGCATCAGGAGGCTGGGGACCACTTCTTAAACCTGCACTTTAACCCCCACCCCAACCTTTGGTTATGAGAAACTTCAACCGCCTGCGGGAGCTGAAGTGATTCCCAGTGAGCAGGCCCTGCCTGGGGGATGAGGAGCTGTCTTTTCAGCACCAAGTGGCCCTTGGCTCCACCCATGGCCCAACCCAGGACGCCTGGGGCCCTCAGGGCCCATCCCCCATGGCCTAGGTGTTCGTAGGGCAGGAAGAGAGAAGCCAGACAGGCACAGGGGCATGGGACACGGGACGGGGAGGAGCAGTGGGTAGCCGGAAGGGCATGCACGTGGGAGGGTCTTCTCGCCTGGGGGTACTTGCAAGGGGATCCCTTCTTCTTTGCAGGCTGCTGCAAAAGAGCCTGCAGGCTGCAGCCTGCAGGCTGCTCCGATTTACACAGGAGCAAGGGAGACGTCCACCTGAGGTTGCCCAGCGCGTGGGGCAGAGCTGGGGCGTGGGCCCAGGCGCTCTGGGTGTCTGTGGTTTTGTTTTAAATATTTTATTTAATGCTTTTTAGAGGGAAAAGGGAGGGAGAAAGAGAGAGAGAGAAACGAGAATGTGTGGTTGCCTCTTGCATGTCCCCCCGGAGGGGACCTCGCCCACAACCTAGGTATGT